CAGTAAGTGAGGTTGTATCATCTGCATATTGTAAGGTTGTTAATGAGACTTCCTCCTATCCTAATGCCATGTTCTTTATTAACTTGCTTTATTTTGTCAAACACTTAATTAAATCACCAGACCAAATGGTTTCAGACCTTATGTATGGCCTGCAGGCTGGACATTCCCAACCTCTGCTCTAGAGGCATTGGTCTTATCTTCATATCTGTCACAGTCCATGGCACCTTGCCTTTCAGTAAAGACTGACTGAACATCAAAGGCATGGATAAATGAAAATAGGACGATTGTGAGTAAGTTTGAATTGCAATGCTAGAACATCAAAGCTTGCCTTGCTTCCTCCAATACTATTTGCTTTGTTTTAAATAATGATAACAATTTATGCCATTTATTGAATGCCTATTATACAAGGAAGGTATTATCATTTCTTTTTGTACACATGCCTTAGAGTGGGAGTGACTTACTAAGGTCTTTTGTAAGGTATCCCCTCTGACTCCTGAGTTGAATTTCTCCCATGTGGAGTTTAAAGGGGAAAGAACTGTAGGTTAGAAGTAGCTAGCCAGACCTGAAAATTTGGTATTATATTTACCTGTGGTTAGAGTGCTAGCAGGTGGCTAGCTCTTAGGGCAAATTCTGGCGGTTAGACTTCATGACCCTGTGCTACTTGCATTATGTTAGATGAGGCTTTTGATGGAGATGGTACACAGTGACCAGTAGGGAACATTCTTAAATTATCAGATGGGTGCACAAATGTTTTATGTCAATGCTTAGATCACATCTTTACACCTATATTAAGTATTTCATTATGAGCAAGCCCATCTTCTAGGTATTGGGGAAAATAAAAGAAAGTCTAAAATCCAGCAATCTTTTGATATCATAGAAAAAAGTAAATGGGAGCATCTAAAATATTCAAACAAACACACATACTCCAATACAATGAGAGAAATTTTTAAATCGATTCATCCCATAGAATGTGCCAGGCACTCTTCTAAATGCTTTGCTGGTATTATCAAACCCAAATTCATAACAAACCAATGAGAATTATTTTCCTCACATTTTTGCACATGGGGTGACTAGACACAGAAGGATAACTACTTTACTCAAGATCATACAACTAGTAAATGGAAGATTCTATCTTGGAAACCAGGCATCAAAGCTGAAAACTCTGTGCATGTAGCTGCTAGCTATCCTGCTATTAAGGCACACAAAGATGTCATGATCAATAGCATCCTGAATTACAGAAAAATAAGAGCACTGTCTTTTTCAGGGTTTTGAACCAGTTCAGTCTGGTTGGAGTTCTGTCATTTTGACATATTGTAAACCAGAGAGTCTGGTGTGGCATTGTAGGATAAGCACTGGATCCCAAGGCACTGTACAACAACATCAAAACCAGAGAATTCTTCAGGGAAGGGGTGGTGGTGGTGGTGGTGGTGGAAGTGGGCTGTGGAGTTGGTTCCGACTCATGAAGACCTTGTATAGGGTTTCTGAGGCTATAAATCTTTACGGGAGGAGAAACCCTCATCTTTCTCGCACAGAACAGCTGGTAGCTTTGATATGCTCATCTTGAGGTTAGCAGCCTGACTCATATCCACTGCATTACCAGAGCTCCTTTCAGCGAAGGGGTAGGAACAGAAATACTGCTTTCAGAAGTTTATAGACATACATGGAGGATATATCAAAAGTATTTTGATCTTTTTAATAAATGTTTCTATGATTTTGTAACAATGCTTTTTTACTTTCCCATGTGTTTATTTATCTTATTCTACACAGTCACCAGTCACTCCCCGGAAACCCCATACAGGGTTGCTATAAGTCGTAACTGACTTGGCGGCACTTAACAATAATAACAACAACACATACCTAATGCAATTGCACGCACATTTGTCCATAAGAACTTTTAATGAGTAAAATCATTGCTCTGAAGGACCATGTAATTCAAATGGGAGATAATATATACATAAAACTACAATACAAAATAAAATGTGATAAACATCCGGTAACATCAGAGCAAATGCAAATTTTTAAAATGTGGGTGTAGCAGAATGCTAATTGGAATGAGAGAAATTATGGGTTGAAACCCTGTTAGAAAGTTAATCTCTCTCTTAGGAAACAAATGCAAGAAGTGTGTTGTATGTCAATTAAATCTCTTGATAAACTGAGTCTAAAACAAAGGTGACTGGAACAAAGATATCTGTTGACAGAGCGCCCCTGGGATCATGTGTTGCCCTTCCCATTCCTAGCAGTAACCCAACGTCACACACAGCTCTGTCCTATAATTTTTTCAATTCCAGGTCTGTTCCAAATTCACATCACTGTCCACTGAACAAAGTTCAGTGCCTTTTCAAAGTTCTGGTCTTTTAAAATATATTTGAAATCTGTGTGCCTCTTTGGAATGGGGAATTCATACCGAATATAGATCTAAAGTAGTAATAAGTAATTTTGTAACTGTAAAGTGACATCATTTTATTTTCTATTAGAATCAAAATTGGTCTTCTAGGAGTATACCAATTTTGCAATAACTTACTGCATTTTTTTTTTTTTTTTATCCTTTACTTCATCTAAATCATCAGTGTATGATATACAGAGACATCATGTACCAGCTGAAGCCTGGGCTATCAGCAGTGTAGTGTGAAGGAAGGAGAAAAGGGCAAAGTTTGGTTTAGAAGGTCTCATTGGTTTCACAAAAAGCTTCTTATTTTTCTGATGTCAGGGACTAACCACTTTTAGAAGTGTTATTGGATTTGTTGTTGTAGCACTGTATTACTACATTAGTTATTTTTGGAGAAATGCTGCTTTCATAAGGGAATTGCCAGGTCATCTGGGACAAATCGTTGGCCTTCTTCAAGGACTTGCTCCCTGATTGATGATAAAGAGTAATTATCAGAAAAAGCAGACAAGAGTTCTGTGTTTTAGGGAAGGTAAACACCCCCAAATTGTGAATATTTTTTCCTAAAATTGCTGAAGAAAGGAGGGTCTTCTAAGGAGGCCTTCTGGACTGTTGGTTTATAACTCTTGTCTCTTGTTACATTTGGCAAGAAAAGGTGCCATATTTAAGTAGGCTGAGAGGGGCAGGTCTGCCAACCCAAGATGCACTGTTGGATAAATATTTTTCTTTGACTGATCTGTTTCCAAAGCAACAAAGAATGAGGACAACAACAAAAGTGAAGGGCTTAAACACAAAACTAAAAAAAAATTATATATAAATCCAAGATTAAAAATGCATTAATTGTTTAAATGCTTATATATTCATGAGAGTTTTGGTGTACATCCTTAAAGCAAAAACCAAAAACCAGGTGGAATAGAAGCAAATACTGTTGAATGATGATGCATGGAGGAGACTGTAATCATTGCAATGAAATGATGATTGTAAAATTGATGTTCTTCCATGTAAACCATCATTCAATTTATAATAAAAAATTAAATAATAAAAAAACCCACATTGAATAAAGTTATTTATATTTATTTTAATTTTATTTGTTTTTGAGTGCTGTCAAGTGGTTGCAACTCATAACAACCCTTTATAAGGTTTCTGACAAGCAGCTGGGGACTTTGAACTGCTGATATAGTGATTCCAAGTCGAGTGCTGATCCTACAGCATTCAAGTTATACTTACAATTAATAAATGCTCTCAGTTTCCATTTAGAGGACTGACTCAGTATAAGTACAATGTGTTAAAAGATTGATTTTAATCTACTTTTATTATAATGATTCTTATTAAAGACCATAATCTTGCTTGGGTTATTTTTATCACTTTATAAATTGCCTGTATATTAACATGCAATTTATTTCTTCTTCTTAATTGGTTAATTGTGCTTTGCTTACCTCCCTATGGAAAAATCTAGAAAATTTACAATAACATCAGTGATAATAAACTAATTTCCATCCAGATGAGATCCTGATATTAGGAATAGAAACACATCTGAATCTCTTCTTCAGGGAAAGTGATGCTACACATACCTGAAAACTTACAGCAATTAGATCTTTACTATCTGTGTGGCGATTTGGGTTAATGTGCCAGACTATAAAGTCATTTTGAGCTGCAAGGTCAGCAGTTCAAGATTACCAGCTGCTCTTCAAAAACCCTATATAGGGTCGCTATGGGTTGGAACCGACTTAAATGACTATTTAATTTAAATCAAAAATAGAAATTTTCAATAATTTGTAGGCAGCTTAGGGCTACTTTTTGGATTGATTTTTTTTTTTTCCCTACAAAAAGTAAATTTTGTAACAGAAATTCAAATTAATTAGATGGAAAAATTAATTAGATAACATAAAATAAAATAATATATTGGACAAAATAGTCTTTTCAATTTGAGAAGCTGTCGTTGTTGTTGTTAAGTGCTGTCGAGTTGGTTCCGACTCATAGCAACCTGGTATGGGGGTTCAAAGGTGCAGCTAATTAGTTTGAACTGCCAACTATATGATTAGAAGTACAGTGTGAATCCTACAGTGCTACATCCGGACTCCATAGAAATACTGGAAACAGACCAAACCAAACCTACTGTCAATGAGTTTTCTATGTCTCATCGTGACCCTGTAAGACAGACTAGAACATCTCCTTAGGGTTTCTAAATCTTTACAGGAGCAGACAACTTCATTATTCTCCTGTGAAGTGACTGGATGGTTTGAACCACTGACCTTTTGGTTAATATTCCTACACTTGACCCACTAGGGATCCAAAAGGGCAATCTCTAAGTTAACCTAAAACCAAACAAATATTAGGTCATTTTTAAAATGAGTTTATAAACCTACATAAACCAAAATACCTTACTGCCATTGAAATGATTCCAATTCATAGCACAAAACATAAATATATATGTATATATATACCAAATTGAAAAAATTCCAACTACTTCATGTTGAACCACAGTGGCTTCAGAGAGAAAGGAGAGAAATCATACAAATGAGGGAAACTGACATAAATAATCCTGATGTCTCTAAATTCCAACGTGTGACCCATTCACAGAAGAATTTCCTTACAGTGTGAAAGAAACCATACTGACCTTTTTTTGCGAGGCTATCATTAGGTTCATACTTCTCAATCAATACTTGAACTTGTTCTTGTTTTAAAGGTGGGTAAAGGATTTCATTGAGCCGGGGATCTCGCTGTTTAAGGTTGATAAAATCCATCATCTGATCAACAGTAAGGTATGGTTTGCTTTTGGCACCACTAAAAACAACAAAAAGAAAGGAATTAGAATGTATTTCACCAAGTATATTTAATACACCATGGACTGTCAGAAGAGTGAAAAATCTGTTTTGTAAGAAATACGTCTGGAATGTTTCTAAGAAGCAATGATAACAAAATTTCTTCGCATGTCCTTTGGTCATGATGTCCCAGTTCCTAGGGAAGGATATCATGCTTGGTAAAGGAGAGTTTCCTTCTGTTGTATGTAGCATTGCTATGAGTCAGAACTCACTCAAAGGCACCTTAACAATAAAACCACAACAAGAATTCATTCAAATATTGGCATGTGACTCCATAGAATAAGCACTGGAGGAACTCAAGGTCGGTTTGAACTGCAAGGTCGGTGGTTCAAACTCACAGGCTGCTCATCAGGAACCCACAATGTTGCTGTGAGTTGGAACAGATTACACGACACTTAAAAACAATAACAATAGCAAGGAAATACGATCTTGATACAAGAGATTAAGAGCATACTACGGAGGTAGTCCTGGACTTGTCAATTTCCAGTTACAACAAACCAAACTTATAAGAATTTATTTTTTGTCTTTTCCCTTTGGTTCATCATATTGTCAGTATAGACATTATTTCGTGTGTTATGGAGATTACGTGATTTGGAAGTTGTGGGAATATGTTTAAATCACATGTAACAGCATTCACTTTGTGTTGTTTTAAAACATTTATTGCACTTTCATTGTGACACTTCTCCTTTGTTTCTTGCTGCTGGTATCAATAGCACTGGTTTTGCTGTGCTTGATACACTTCACGGTAATATTTTCAAAAGAAAATTATGCAAAGAGAATACCAGAACAATATTTACTTTTTAAAAATTGACTATGCAAAACATTAGACCGTGTGGATTATAACAAATGATGTATAACATTGGGAAAAATCAGTATTCCAGAATACTTAATTATGCTCCTGAGGAAACTGTACATAGACTTAGAGGCAGTTGTTAGAATAGAACAAGGGGATACTGAATGATTTGTAATCAAGAAAGGTGTCAGCCAGAGTTATATTCTTTCATCATACTTGTTCAATATGTATGCGGAGTAAATAACCTAAGAATCAGGATTGAAGGAAGTTTCATTAACAATCTGTGATATGCAAATGACACAATTTTGCTTGCTGTAAGAGAAGAGGACATAAAATAGAAATATTTACTTAAGAAGATGAAAGACGACAGCCTTCAGTATGGATTGCACCTCAATATTAAAACAAAAATCCTCACAACGGAACAAATAATAACAACATATTTAATTGGAAAACTTCTGAAGTTGTCAAAATTTAATTTTACTTGGATCCACAATCAAATGTCATGGAAGCTTCAGTCAATAAATCAAATGATGTATTTGCGAATCTACTGCAAAAGTCCTCTTACCTCTTTAAAGTCTTAAAGAGCAAAGATGCCAATTTAAGGCCTAAGATCCACCTCACCCAAGTGATGACATTTTTAATTGCTTCATACACATGTGAAATTTAGATAAAGAATAAGCAAAACTATAGAAAAATCTATGCATTTGAATTATGGTGATGACTAAGAATAACAAAATTACCATGGGCTGCTGAGAGATCAAACAAACCTGTCTTGGAAGAAGTACAACCAGAATGCTTCTAAGACGAGAGGATAGCCACACTTTGTGTCTAGTACTTTAGACATATTGTTAGGAGGAAACTGTCCCTGGAGTAGGACATCATGTTTGGTACAGTGGAGGGAGCATCAGTGAAAAAGAGGAAGACCATCCATGAATTGGATTGGCACACTGGCAGCAACAATGGACTCGAGCATGACAACAATTGTGAAGATGGTGGAGAACTGAGCAACATTTAATTGTGTTGTGCACAGGGTCACTATGAGTTGGAACCAACTTGATGGCATTTAACAACAACAGTAGTCTTTGAGTGGAAGTAAATGTTATATGTTGAACTATTTATTGTTAAGTAGGGAAAGTTCCTATTAAAATACTGATTGAAATACTTTGCAGTACAGCAAAGTATGCATATAAGGCAGTGATGTTGGTAGTTGTATGTCGCTGAGTCAGTTCCAACTCATAGTGACCCTGTAGAGGATTTCTGTGAATCTTTATGGGAGCAGAAAACCTCATCTTTTTTTTCCTGTGGAGCAGTTTGTGGATTCAAACTGTGGTTAACAGTTCAACACTTAACCCACTATGCTACCAGGGTTCCTTATATAAGCCACTAACATAGGTATTTATTGTGACTATCGAGACATATTATTATAAGTTATTATGTATGGTACCATTACACATCTGCCAGTGCATACAACAGACACAATTCTCACATATTATGTTCAGGAAGCTGCTGTGTTTCATATGCCTGGCAAGTCTGCTACACTCCATTCTCCAATCAGGATTTCTGAATTCTTTTATAAATGTATATGCAGTCTGATTTTTCCTGAATGAACTTTATGTGGTACATGATTGTACATCTTCCTGAGACAAAGTAATGGGAAACTGTAGAGGTGATGGAAAAAATGCTGATTTATGTGAACATGTACTAATTTTTGATTGGGATAATATGATAGAAGAGATTGGTGGGAAAACTGTTCCTACGGCAAGAATGCTGAATCAAGAACTTGATATTGTTAAGGTGGGGCAGTTCATAGATCATGAAGAATGGAAATGGACAGAATATGACTTAATGGATTTTGATGAAGAAAGCAATGCTGAAGAAGAAAAAAGGGATCTGGAAGAAGAGAAGTTGGTTCAGAAATTTTGCAGTGAACGTATTAGCTAGAGGTTTTTTTTTAAAACTACATCAGGGATTTTGGTTGCTGGAAAACAAGAACCCAAATGCTGTTTATTTTGCTAAAGTTGACAAGTGAGATGATACAAAGAAATACATGACGGAAAGAAAAGAACCATATAGATAGCTCTCACTAATTTTCTGAATAGAAAGGTCACCCCCATTCTCAGGGATAATCCAGAGGACCCAGAAAACTCTGCAAGTGGAATTTTTACTCAAGCATACAAAACGCCAACAGTGTCCAACTCTTCGTCATCGTGGCAATATGTTTTTATAATTTGTATATTTTTTAATGTATGTGTTGTTGTTCTTAAGTGCTATCAATTAGGTTTGCAATAGTGACAGGGTTTTGAAGTCTGTAAGTCTCTGTGCGAGCCTCATCTTTCTTCCACGGCGTGGTTCTCACTACAGGGTCAGCAGTGTTCCCCTCAGTGTATGTATGTCATTGTTGTTGTTAAGTGCCCTGGAGTAAGTTCTGACTTACAGAGACCCCGACCCCGTGTAGGGTTTCCAAGGAGTGGCTGGTGGGTTTGACCATCCGACTTTATGGTTCACAGTCCAATGCTTATTCTACCAAGAGTCCAGATCTTATTTCTGTGTGCATTGAAGTGCCGTTGAGTCAGTTCTGGCTCATAACAACTGTGTACAGGGTTTTCAAGGACCAACTGGTGGGTTTGCACCACCAACCTTATAGCTGGCAGTCCAGTGCTTATCCTACAGAGCCACAACAGGACTTTATGTATATGAGTATGTATTAAAATTAATCTGTAAGTTTGTATGTAATTTTTCCAATACCTAACGAAAACTAACCATGGTATTAATAAAGATACTGACAATAAGAGGCAATAATAATGGAAAAATATGAATTATTTGACTTTTATCAGAATTGATTTATGATAGAGTTGTAAGAATGGGAACCTGTGGTAAGTCAGAGACTACCTGTACTTAAATTCCTTCATTGTTTTAAAAACTCTGTGCTGCTTCAGTGTAATTTCTGAATTTATTTGAGATACAAATATCACGATTAAATCCCAATACCAGATGAGTAAGAAAATGCACAGTGGGAAAACACTGCACTCTATAATCAAGAATAAAAAACCTGAAAACCAAACCTACTCCCATTGATTCAATTCCGCCTTACATCGACCATATTTAGTTTCCCAAAGTATACATCTTTACGGTACCAGAAAGCCTCATCATTCTTCTGTGAAGTGGCTAGTAGGTTTGAACGGCCAATTTTGGAGTTAGAAGTCCAGTGCTAAACCTACAGTGCCACTTATAAATGAACAGGGCTTCTAATAAATGAGCACTAAAGTATCAATTGTTTTTGCATATATATATATACATTTTTTTTTTTTTTTTTGGTTTTTAAAAAATGGGCCAAAAAGTTTAATTTTTTTTTGAATATATATAAATACATTTTTTTTTTTTTTTTTGGTGTATTACACTAAAGTTTTCACATCCCTATTAATCAGACTGAAAGATGAATTGTTTTTTCTGTTTCTTAAAAAATTAAATAAACTCATTGGCCACATTTATGTTTAAAAAATAAATCATGCTCTAACAATATATAGTTGTTGGAACATTTTATATATATATTTAATATACATGATATAAAAAATGGTCAACACAGTGTAATTCAAACTTCCCACGTAAAACTTAGTGACAACCCAAAGGCAAGTTTATTGGCACAGCTATTGCTGATGCTGAATACAGATTCGGTAGCAATGAGCATCACAAAGTTAAACTACTCTTTCATATGAAGACATACTTTTTCTATTTATAGCTTTTGGATCTATTTTCTGCCACTGTGTAGATTGCAGTATACCTAGAAAGGTACCTTGCTACTTCCCCACATTTTCTTTGCTAATGTGATTTATTTCTTTTCTTATATTTTCCTTTCTTTTTTGATATTAGCTGTGTAAGTTTAGGAGTCCTGGTGTGGTGCTGCAGGTTAATGTGCTGGGCTGCAAGGTCAGTTTGAACCGCAAGGTCGGTGGTTCAACCTCACCAGTGGCTCCTTGGAAACCCTACACAGGGTCACTAGGAGTAGAAACTGGCTCAATGGCACTTAACAACAACAACATGCAAGTTTATAACTTCTAACATAAAAATGAATTCTTTTTAAGTGGAAGGTTTCTTAGTAATTGAAACTTTTCATTTCCTGAATGCAGTTTGGAAAAGAAAAAATCGTTTGGTTCTGAGTCCAGAGTTCTTTCTGCAACATAAATAGGCCTCTACTAAACCAAGATGCATGCCTATTCTATTCATAGTCTTCAAACCAGTGGAAGATACTGAAAGACCTATGGTGTTGTTGTTAAGTGCCATCAAATACCCAGAAGTAAATCACAGCAAACTTCCACTAATTAAAAGCAGTGATTGTTTGTTCTTCTGGAACAAATTATACAAGAGCACTGCATTCCCAAAAGGTGTACCAAGATGTTCTTACCTCTCCCTCTGTTACTGCTCAAAGTCCCTCCCTCATTAGCCCTGCAAGTCCCCAAAGTGGGTTAAACATGTCCTCTTACAATTCAGAAAAGATGTTATCGATTTCTGGCCGAGGGCAAAGGTTGTTCAGGAAAACTCTGTATACTTCTGGAGTGAAGTCTTCATGAGGTATTGACTCATTCTGTAAAACAGAACAACAAGGTCAGCAAAGACTGTTTTCTTTCCTCATCTTCTCTTTTGTTTTATCTCTCTTTTTCCTTCCCTCCTTCTCTCCCTGAGTTCCTTCCGCCCTTCCCCCCTGCCCTACTTTCCTCTTTTTCATATTTTCTTCTCAGAGCTCAGGGTAAACATTCAGAAGATCCCAGCAGTATAGCTCATTTGGACATAGGCTTTGGAGTTTCCAAAGATTTATTTATTTTTATTGCTTGTTTATTTTATGTTTAAGAGGTTTCTCTTGCTAAAAGAATGTTAAAGCAATCTCCTAAATGCATTTGCTAGGAAAAAGTCTATATAGCAGATTTTTAAATGAATGCTTTAAAAAAAAAAGAGTAAAGAAGTTAAAGGCAATGCATTGTTAAAATTCCAATTTTGTGTCATTTTCAAATGACATTACTTCTGGTTAAATTATCTGATAAACTGTAAAACATTTTTCATAAATAGAATAGTCATTATTTTCTGACTGACGCCTCTTAGTCTTATTGTTTGGGAAAGCAATCACTGATAAAAATTACCACTTCTATGACTTATTTTTCTGTTTGGTTAGGTTGCCATGGAGACCGGAAGCATGTATTCAAGTCTTTGCTAACAGGAAGGATGTTTTCCATACCGTTTTCCTGATTCAGGTATGTGTTTAGATGTTTCTCTGTAAGTTCTTAAACTGAAGAAAACACCCTCCCTTCACGACATTCATACATTTTGCAATGTACATTTATAGAAATGTCTAAAAATTGTTGTCTGAAATTCTATAATGCTTGCTAAAAGAACTTGGCTCATCACATGGTTTAGAACAGGAACCCCCGTATTTGTAGAATGAACAAATGGAAGTTATATTCCTTTACCAAGTCCATTTATAGAGAGGATAGTAAATCTATTTTGCAATCTTATTTTGAAAAAATAGAATTCAGAGACAATAAATGACACAGATACATGTATGCTGTGTGGTGCATACTAACATCAGACTTAGCTACCTAGACAACCACTTTAAAATCCTACGCACAAAGGGCCAAATCCAAGAACAATAGGGAATTGTTTTGCCATTTATAAAATGAGGACATGTATTGAATTTTTAGGATGAAATCCTTTTGGGTACATGATGTACAATTTTCAGTGTAGTGCTGCACCTGCATTGTTGTTGTTGTTAGATGCCATCAAGTCGGTACCAACTCATAGCTACTCTATGCATAACAGAACTAAATGCTGCCTGGTCCTAGGCCAACCTCACAATCTTCGCTACACCTGAGCCCATCACTGCTGCCACTGTGCCAATCCATCTCCTTGGGGGACTTCCTCTTTTTCTCAGACCCTCCACTTTACTAAACATGATAGCCTTCTCCTGATAATATGTCTAAAGAATGAGAGACAAACTCTGGCCATCCTCGATTCCAAGAAGTTCTCTGGCTGTAC